AGGCAGGAATGAGGGGGAGGGTTGGTCATGGGATGAGGCAGGGGTGCGGAGATTCTGAAACTGGTAAAGTCCACATTGAGGCCATTGGGCTGTAGGGGCACAAGGCAGAATGTGAGGTGTTGCTCCTCCAGTTTCTGGGTCGCGTCATTGTAACACAGGAGGAGGCCCAGGGTGGACATGTCACCCAGGAAGTGGGAGGGGGAGTTGAAATGGTTCGCGACTGGAAGGTGTTGTCGTTTGTCGCAAACAGAATGCAGATGCTGTACAAAGCAGTCTCCAAGCCTGCGCTTGGTCTCCCCGATGTAGAGGAGGCCACATCGGGAGCAGCAGATGCAATAGACCACATTGACGGATGTACAGGTGAACTCCTGTCTAATGCAGAAGGTTTTTGTTTTATGCCTTGAATGGAGGTGAGGGGGGAGGTGTAGAGGCAGGTGGAGCACCTCCTGAGGTTGCAGGGAAAGGTGCCGGAGGTGGTGGGGCTAGTGGGGAGTGTGGAGCAGATGAGGGAGTTGCGGAGAGAGCGGTCCCTATAAAAGGCAGATAGGGGTGGGGAGGAAAATATATCCTTGGTTATGGGGTCGGATTGTAGGTGGCGGAATTGGTAGAGAAGGATATGTTGGATACGGAGGTTGGTGGGGTACTATGTGAGGACTTTGTTTTTGTTGTGGGGAGAGGGTGTGAGGGTTGAGGTGCAGTAAATGCAAGAGATGCGGTTGAGAGCATTTTCGACCACCAAAGGTGGGAAGTTGCTGTCCTTTAAATACGAGAACGTCTGAGATGTTCGGGAGTGGAACGCCCCATCTTGGGAGCAGATGCGGCGGAGGCGGAGGAATTGGGAGTAGGGGATCACATTCTTTCAGGAAGGTGGGTGAGAGGAGGTGTAGTCCAGGTAGCTGTGGTCGTCGGTGGGTTTGAAATAGATGTCAGTTTCAAGGTGGTTACCAGAGACGGAGACGGAGAGGTCCAGGAAGGAGAGAGGGGTATCAGAGATGGTCCAGGTGAACTTAAGGTTGGGGTGGAAGGTGTTAGTAAAGTTGACGAACTGTTCAAGCTCCTCTTGGGAGCATGAGGCACCACCAATACAGTCATCAATGTAGCGGAGGAACAGGTGGGGGCTAGTGCCAGTGTAGGTGCGGAAGAGGGACTGTTCCACTTATCCATAGCTTGGGCCCATGCGGGTTCCCATGGCCACCCCCTTAGTCTGTAGGAAGTGGGAGGAGTTAAAGGAGAAGTTGTTGAGGGTAAGGACGAGTTTGGTTAAGCAGATGAGGGTGTCAGTGGAGGGGGACTGGTTGGGCCTGTGGAAGAGGAAGAAGCGGAGGGCTTTAGGCCATCTGCACGGGGAATGCAAGTATACAGGGATTGGATATCTATAGTGAAGATGAGGTGTTGTAGGCCGGGGAATTGGAAGTCTTGGAGGAGGTGGAGGGCATGGGTGGTGTCCTGGATCTAGGTGGGGAGTCCCTGGACCAGTGGGGAGAAAACAGAGTAAGCAGAGGTAAGTTCAGTGGGGCAGGAGCAGGCAGAGACAATAGGTTGGCCGGGACAGTCGGTTTTGTGGATTGCCACTATGGTGTCTGTCACTTCCAACTCTGACGCCATTGTGCCCTGAGCCATTCCCAGAACAACTCGCTACTCAAAAGTTACCCACCAAAAGACTGGCATCCCTTGCACTAGCACCACCTTTGAAATGCTGCTGTGCACCCTGACTGGTATTGTTTCTAGCAGCACTGCACCTCTAGAGAACAGCAAGTCACGACTGGGAACATAGCTCACTGTGGACACCATCAGCACCAGGCTCTGCCTGATCACCAGCTAACCCACCCCCAAGCCCAACTCCCAACACCCACGCCCCCTCACCCCACCCCCTTTTACTTTATACAAGCCCAACAGACCATTTCAAACTATTCCCCTACCATGTAGTGACCCACCACATTGAACTTCACTTACAACCATCCCCCCTCTGCACCCTGGGCACCTGTGTTACACCATAATGATGCCCATCCTGGTTGTCTATGCTACCCCTGAGGAAGTCACAGTGGTGGCTATTGTCATTAACTTCCCCCCTTCAGTAGCCTATCATACCTTCTAATGGTGTTCCACAGACCATCCTCCCCCATACAGAAATTTCCTCCTATCTTTACCCCCACCATTATAAATGCCACTGCTTTCCACCCTTCCCAGCCTTGACTCCCCAATCCTTTGTGGCAGTTTCCCCCATTTGCTGCCTCTACAGCCCCTTCCTGGAACATTCCTAAAAGATCAACAGAAGGCCTTCCAGGACTACATGCACTCCAGACCTCTGACCAAAAAACAAAAGCAGTCCTAGATATGACTGACCACTGTGTATGCAGCTCGGTGGCTAATAATATAGTATCCCTTAACGACTTGTGCTCTCCCTCAGGATTGATTCTGAACGTCTCTCAGACTGCAGTGACAGATGCCCTGACTGAGTATCCCAGGGGGGTGACTGACCTGCACTGTCTGCACACTGTTCCTGCAATTGATGATACCAAGGCCCCAGTCGACAGCAGCCTTCCTTTGACTAGACTGATGACTAGCACTCACCAGTTTCTGACATGGCTATGTGGTGGAATTAATGTGCAATGTGTTTGCCACACAAGCAGCTGGCATGTACTGTAGATGTTAGATTAATGTGCCAGTGTACCCTTCATCAAGATGACTCCTCCGCACCCCTCCCAGCCTGATCCCTACAAACAAGCATAACATCCCAGACTGCCAGTGTTCCTGCACCACGGAGCACTTCAATACGACAGTAGTGACAGCCTTTGGTTCTGGCTAACCAGCCAATGCACCAACAGGCAATGCAAGGTAATGATGAATCTGCCATGTGCTTGCCCTAGTTTCCATGTAAAGTTCTTTTTTTTGGACATCTAGTTTGTTAAAATAGGAAACTGAATATTAATGGGGTGAGTTGGACCATTAACAGATCCTTGTTATATGTAGGTAAAAGGAATGTATACAAACATTGCACCAGCTGCAGATTGTATAATACTACACTTCCCTTGTAAATTTAAAAGCTGTGCAGATAAACATCAAGATTTCTTTCTGAATTGACAACTGCTGAGCTCTATCTCACTCCCAATGTTAATCTCCTTGAAATTTCTGATGACAGTGGATAGGCACCTCTACCACAGACAGATATAAATAGCACTTCAAACAGCTCCAATGCTGACTGGCATGGTTACTGGACCCTTCTATGAATGCCTGCCATTGGAGGGTAAATGGAGTTTTCCAGGAATCATACCCAACTGCAATGGTGAACCTCCTGACCCTTGGGTAAAGGAGTGAACCTTTAAATTCCAAATTCATATCTCCAATGATGCCAAAGGGACCCAACATTTGTCCTTGTGAAGACCTTCATTGGATCCCCTGGTCCACTGCCACAGTGGGTTATTCACTGGGTCAATGCAATGGGACTCCTCCAACAGAGTGCCCACACCAGGGTCCGAATCAATATCGTCATTACAATCCTAAGGGACAGACAGGGAGAAGCTCCTCCCTAACAAGGCCAGCTGGAAACCTCAGAGCAGAGAGAATGGTACAACTATTGTTCATAATTTTTCCAGGGCAACTCCAATGTGGATTACAAACTTTTGTTTTTCAACTTTAATGTTAATTGACTGTTCTACTAGGACTGGATTTTTGTTTTAGTGTGGAACTGAAATCGTAAGGCGAAAGCTCACTCTGCAGGAGAAGTAAAGCACGGTGAAGCCAATTGTTGAATTTTAAAGCCTTAGTTGTAGTAGGAAGGAAAAAAGCTTTTGATAATTTGACTGTGTGGAAGTGTAAAAAGGGCAAAGAAGTGTTAATAAATAAAGAAAAAAAATGGCAAATAGTTTAATGGGATGAGGGCGTTGCTGGCTAGGCAGCATTTATTGTCCATCACTAATTGCCCAGAGGGCAGTTAAGAGTCAACCACATTGCTGTGGGTCTGGAGTCACAGGTAAGGATGGCAGGTTCCTTCCCTAAAGGGCACAACTGAACCAGACGGGTTTTTCCCAACAATCAGCAATGGAGTCACAGTGACCATTAGATTCTTAATTCCAGATATTTTATTGAATTCAAATTCCACCATCTGCCATGGCAGGATTTGAACTCAGGACCCCAGAACATTATCTGGGTCTCTGGATTAACAGTCCAGTGATAATACCACTAGGCCATCACCTCCCCCTAATTGCACCGAGTCAAAATCATCCCCACTGAAGGAGATGGAAAATTACAATTAAAAGCCCATAAAGAATAGTTTAGGTGAACACAGCAGGCCAAGCAGCATCATAGGAGCAGAGAGGCTGACGTT